GGGTAGGAGTTCTGCTGTGCGCGGTATTCGCGGTGCTATGGTGAAAATGCTCTTTAGGCACCTCAATTCCGAGTATCCTATTCAGCATTGCTGCCCGTGCCGTTCTTATTCTTTGATTGCAGTGATCTCTCTCTCTCTCTCTCTACTCATCCACCTGCAATGTCATAATGTTGGTGTGATTTCTGAAAATGTGTGAAAGTATGAGATGTCGTGTACAGTATAATATAATATGATGATATCCCTTAATTAATATATATATAGGTAAACTACGATTTACAATAATTAACGCATGTTCGCTGAGGATCGGTTACACTATCGTGGTCTCTGACCGTTGCTAGTGGGGTTCTGAAGGGGGGGGGGGCAATGGGGTTGCGTTGCGTCGGACGTAACATACCCACTATTACCGAGCAGAATTCCATCAAGTTGTCCTAGCTCCAATCGACAGCGCAGGCCACTGCGATCAAATATCACTGCATCGTGAGTTGAACCAGGGTGTCGAACAACTATGTCAAGAATTTCTCGGTTGGGACTGAACACAACCTATAAGAATAATTAATTATTCAGCTTTCATGAAGTCATTCAATAAACTAAATACATATGTAACAAAAATACAGCATTAAAAAATTTACCTGTACATTTAGCGAAAACCACCCTTTTCGATTTCGAAATACTTCTCCATTACTTCCACCACGGTTTCCAATTCGTATATGGGTGCAATCGATACATCCAATTACAGATGGGAAGTTTGCCATTGCATAAAATTTGTTTTTGTAATTGGAACGTACATGTTCAGTAGAAAAATTTATATGTTCATTTGAGTGCAATGCCAAAATTCTTGAGACTCGAGCCACGATTCGCGATACAGATGCTTGACTGTATCCTCATAAATCCCCATTAACAATCTACGATGAACACAAAACACAAATAAATTAAAAATTGATAATGCAATGTCATGTAACATGTAGCAAGAAAATCATATACAAACCTGAAAACTGCTTGTTGCATAAAAACGCAGTTATTAGGAGCTGTATCAATGGAGAAACTGGCAATCCACGATTATTTAGTTTTTTTAATTGCGCATTTACAACGGCAATAAAATTTCGACCACGGCTCCTTTGCTAAATCTGTATCTTTTTTGAAAAGGAACATCTTCGCACAATTCGATAGGATTTTCAATGTCCCGAATGTACTTTTTGGCTAGCTGCCATCGGAAACTATCTACTCGTTCCTCAAATTCATCGTCAAAATCATTATCAGAATTATTTAAAAATTCGTTGTCCATTATATACAGTAATTATACTTATAGTTCAATAGGTATGGAAGCTGGTGTACGAATTTTTACGTAGTTCCAACTGTTTTTTTTTAAGTTACAATGTCGACCGTGATACACTCCAAACTTTGCACTGATGCCGAACCAAACCAAACCAAGCCAAGCCAAGCTACATCTTTGCTGCTTGGGCTAGTTACTAACTTGGGCCGCTTGTGGCGCTAGACATATCAAACGAAACAGCCAATCACAGTGCAGAAGTTTTCCTCAAGGAAGCTCGAGACATCCTGTTTATTCACGGCAATCCAGGGTGCAGATAGGTGACAATCGGTTTATTGGAACACCAAGTCTTCACGATCAAAGTTTCTTTTATTATTAATAATTGCGTATCACGGACAAAGAAGAATTAACTGCCTCGTGTTCAAACTCACTCATTCCTTAAAACTATATAAAACTAAGTTCCCTAGATGCTTCTCGTCTGGGGAAAAACAAGCCGCCTGGTTTGTCCACCAGAGGTGCTGTGGACCTCAAGCATGGTTCTAAACATTCCGGGGCCCGTTGCGCGGTAACGCAACTTACAAGATTAATTCTATTCTGCTAACAACGGACAAACTTGCACTTCCGGGGCCCGTTGCGCGGTCATTCCTTAAAACTATATAAAACTAAGTTCCCTAGATGCTTCTCGTCTGGGGAAAAACAAGCCGCCTGGTTTGTCCACCAGAGGTGCTGTGGACCTCAAGCATGGTTCTAAACATTCCGGGGCCCGTTGCGCGGTAACGCAACTTACAAGATTAATTCTATTCTGCTAACAACGGACAAACTTGCACTATCGGTTTCTGAATTACCGACGTTGCTGTTTGCAATGTGAGCACTCGCACCAAACTGTCTGCTCCAGGATGCAGATTGATGATCCTCGCGAGCCTCCATCGTGCTGGTGGTAAATTTGGCTCCTTGATCAAAACTAAATCATTTAGTTTCATGTTCTCCTGCTTCGTGCGCCACTTTTGCCTTTGTTGTAAGCCACTTAGATATTCTGATGACCATCTTCTCCAAAATCCTTGAACCAAGCGCTGTACCAGCTGCCATCGAGCCAATCTTCCTGGTGATAAGTGTAGTAAGGTTGGTTCCGGTTGTACTAATGGAGGTCCTTCCATAATGAAATGTCCAGGAGTCAGGACGTCAACGTCCTCCGGATTATCAGACATTGGTGTCAGAGGCCTAGAATTTAAACATCCCTCTATCAAGAGACTCGGTCGAGTCTCGCGCCAAGTACAGGCAACCGGCTGTACAGGGCGCAGCGCGCCGAGACTCTTTACTCGAGTCAACTCCTTATACCTGTGTTTGGAACAAAATATCTTATGAACCGCTATATATGAGGAAAAGTTATTGATACATTCACTATAGGAATTGAAGGTTCTGAAGCGATTGCCACCAAGTTCAATACGATTAGTGTACGAGATCAGGGCGTATTGAAATGGCGAGCGAGATGATTTTATTTCAGTTCCGTCGTCGTCGTCGTCGTCGTCGT